TGCTCGCCAGACAGACAGAGAGAGACAGAGAGACAGAAAGTGAGAAATCAGCCCCCAGGGGGGATGGCCACATGGCCACACTGCAATCCCTTCTCCTCCGTTCTCCTCTCGGGATCTTGGGCACGCACACACACGTGCCCAGCGTGAGTTTTAAGCCACCGGGTCCGGGACGCGAACCACGGTTGACTACATGGGAGTCCAGCGACATAGCCATTATGCTAACTGCTGGTCTCCAGAAAAAGATCTTATGTGAGTAATTAGATCTGGCCTCAAACTTATTGGAAGGTGGCAAGTAAAAGTGTAAAACCTAAGAGTGATTGAGACGAAGGTTGAGAACAGTCTATTAAAATGCAAAAGTAAAAAAGTTCCATAAAGCAATTTATCATAAATGAATAATGAAGGCAGAATAAACCAGACTGGCAAAAGACAAGTAGATGATGAGGCAGTGCACATGGGAAGCTCTTGAAAATAAACTGTGAAAGGAGAGGTCAGTGGCTTGAAGGGATGAAAGATGGAAGGAATAAAGTTTTTTTTTAATATAATGGATACCAATTGGATTGTTTGCCCAGACCCCCTTTCCTGGGAATTGATGCTCTCTTTCCCCTATTTATAGGGTTAGCAAAAACTGCCATATTCCTATAATCATAGCTTATTGAAAAATGTGGACACCTAATCCAGTCTGGGTAGAGCAGCATCTCATTCCCTAAAAATCTGCAATTGGACCATAATTATCAGCTTTTCTCTAAGTGTAAAGTTTAGAAGACATCAGCAGTCAATTTTCCCACCAAAGGGACATAAAAGATGCCACTCCCCAGAAGGAGAAGAAAAATTCAGACTCTTAGAAAAGAGCAGAGATGGGAGATAAGAGTCTTTATTATATCCAAGTCCCAGGTTTCAGATCATTCTTGGGACATTCTATCCTTAGTTTATCTGAGACAGCCCCATATCCTTACTATTGCTATTTTTGTTTATGATAGAGTTGGGTTAGAAACTACTTATCATCAAAGAATGTTAACTAATCATAAAACTGGTATCAAAAATGGAGTGTAGAGTCCCTCCACTCACAGCAAGGAAGGCTATGTAAGTTGCCAGAGCTACTTTTGCTTTCCTTTCCTGGTGCTCACTCCTTGCTCCTTGTATGGTGCTAGTGTCCCACTCCCTGGCCATTGTCACACTCAGGGTTCAGCCTGAAGCCCAAGCCAAGGTGGATGTGTTTCATGAATATCTGTGTACCAAGACAGAGGACCTGCTCAGAAGCTTTCCCCGAGAAGATTTCTGAGTTGGATGCATTTTTAAAGGAGTCAGCAGTTAATGAAGCCAACCTGAGCAATCTGAAGGCCATATTGGATATCCCAGTGCCTGATCCAGTCAAGGAGAAAGAGAAGGAGCAGAAGAAACAGCAGGAGAAGAAAGACAAGGATGAAAAGAAAAAAGGAGACAATGAAGACAAAGGTTCATCTTTTGGCCCAATGAACTGCAATGAGAAGATCGCGGTCCTCCTACAGGGCTTGAAGCCTGAGATCTAGGATGTCATTGAGCAGTTCAACTTGGTCACTACCTGGTTGCAGCTGCAGATACCTGGATTGAAGATGGTAACAATTTGGAAGTAGCTAAAGAGTATAAGGTGTTTGAGTTGATGACCACCTTTCAAACCAAGTTGGAAGGCTACCACACTCAAATCTCCAAATGTTTCTCTCAGAATGGTGATATCGTTGCTGAAGCAGCCAAGCAGCCCCATGCGGGTGATTGTTGACAGCCCATACATAAGCTGGGTGAGGCAGAATACCGGCTGATGGTCATGGAGATCTGTAATGCTTATGCTATATTATATGATATCATTTGAAGAACTTCAAGATGCTCAAGAAGCCCAGGGGAAAAACAAAGGGAATGACTATCAAGAGTCGCCTTTTATCCTGTGATGCGTACAGCAGAGAGCATCCTGCTTTTTACCAGGGACTTCAGACTTTCTCCAACCATCCTCCTACTGAGGTTTCTTCCCCCCTTGTCTCCCAGGCACAATAAATATAGTCACACTGTTTCTTTTTTCTTTATTTTTTAAAAAATAGCATGGTAAATTAGACCCTAAAATGTGGAACTGACAGAGATCAGAGATTTTCTGCATCAGTTCTTGGGAAGGAAGCTGGCAATCTGTGTTATTTGGTAGTGAAGCAGTTGCTTTTTGCTCTTTGGTCTAAAAACAGAGCCACTCTTTTGCTCATATCAAGAGATCTGCAATTGTTGAGGGTCAGATATTTATGGACCTGTCTAACCTATAGCAAAATTCTCAGTCTCACTTTAAAGGTTTCACTGATTATGAAATTGGCATCTAGGTGATTGAAATGAGATGATCTGTATGAGGAGTCTGAGATGATCTGTATGAGGAGTCTTCAGAAAGTTCATTTAAAAATGCTTATTTCAGGGGACCAGCAGTTGCTGGACTCCCACGTAGTCAATCACAGTTTGAGTCCTGGACCCGGTGGCTTAAATTCACGCCAGGCGTGTGTGTGTGCATACCCAAGATCCCAAGAGGAGAACTGAAGAGAAGAGATTGCAGCATGGCCATCCCCCCTGGGGTGTGTGTGTGTGATTTCTTGCTTTCTATCTCTCTTTTTCTGGTGAGTGCACATGCCCTATAGCAAAAACCTCTCCAAAAAAATGCTTATTATGAAAAATCTATGCAGGGATTTCAAAAATTTTGCACCAAAATAAACTCATACTGTATTTCCATTTTTCTGTCAATTTTTTAAATTGCCATAGGGCACATGTGCTCTCCAGAGAGAGAGACACAGGAAGAAGAACAAAGCACCCCCTGCCAATGGGGCATGGTCATGCTGCAGTCCATTCTCTATTTCTCCATTCTGTTGGGATTTGGAGCACTCAGGCATACAGACACCAGCCATTTTTTTCAAGCCACCAGGGCCAGGACTCCAACCATGGTCAGCTGTCTGGGATCTAGCTCCCTTAACCACTAAGCCACAGACAGCATTGGGGCTCTATAAATTTCAAAGTCTCCTTGTGTATGCACTTTCTAAGTACTCCTTGTTCTCCAACTTCCCTCAATGTGATGATGTCTACTTCTGTAAAAGCATCTAACTGGAATGCAAAGAAAGGAACAAGTGTAACATTTCCATGGCAGATCAGGAAAGAAAGACTTAATAGGGCCAGATCCATGGCACAACAGGAGCACATTGTTCAAGAGATACTGAATCCCATATAGCTGACCATGCAGTTCAAGTCCTGGACCTGGCAGCTTGAGAAACATGGTGTATGTGTGCATATGTGCCCCAAATCCCAAAAAGATGGAGAAATGAAGGACAAGAGATTGTGGCTTGATCGTGCCCCAGGTGGGAGGTTGCTTTCTCCCTTTCGTTTGCTCATATGCTCACCAGAGATTTTTTTTAAAAAGAGAGAGAGACCGGACGGACCCATATGGGAGATATCAAATTTAGTTTCTGGTCAACCTTCACACCCTAGGCACATGTTCCCACAATGCTGGTTGGGAAGGTTGGGAGTAGGGGTAGGAGATGTGGTGTGGGACTCTGTTGAGAGTGCTTTTCTGTCACTCTCATGAAAACAATACATTTTAAAAATTTTATATGTCTTTTTAATTTTATATTTTTATATTGCATTTATTCACATATATCTTTACAATGTTTAACATTTCTTTGTTATATGTGTCTTTGTAAAGAAAAAAAAAAAGAAAGGCTTTACAGCATTTAAATCAGCTATTATTTCTTATCAGAGCTTTGAACCAGAGACTTTGAGCAAAATCCCAGTGATAATGAGTCAAGTCCATAGGTAGCATGCTAAGAAACAGAAAGGGCAACAGGATGATACAGGCTGTTCCC